ATGCCACAATTAAGCGCATCGCCTGGGGATGTGGTCCAAGATTCCAGGGCTTAATTCCTCTCCTTGCCCCCCCCCCCCCCCCCCTTCCCCCCCCCCGGGGGGGGGGGGGGGGAAGGAAAGAGCGGGGGGGGGGGGGGGACTGCAGTTGCCCTGCGCCCAGATTCCTCTGATGTCTGCCAGAAGCTGCAGCCCTTTGGACGGGGGACGTACAGTTGGGAAAAGGGGGGGGGGTCCTAAAAGAAGGCAAGGCGGGTGTTCCAGGGCCCCAACCCTTCCGGGGCTGACCTGGATCCATCCATTCCATCCGCGATTCAGGGTCTGGCATGACCCGGGAACCATGCACTCAGACGCCAGGGAAAGCGGGCGGGCATGCCACAATTAAGCGCATCGCCTGGGGATGTGGTCCAAGATTCCAGGGCTTAATTCCTCTCCTTGCCCCCCCCCCCCCGTCTTCCAGCCCCCTGGAGCGTGGCTGGCGGAAACAGAAAGAGGGGGCTTCCGTGCAACCGAAGGTCCGTTTGCGGCAAGAGGTGGTCAGCCTGGGCCTCCAGCGGCGTGGCCAGCGCATCACCGTCCCTGTCCACAAATTCTTTTCCAAAGAGAAGCGCCCCTACGGATTAGGCATGGTGGGCCGGCTGACCAACCGGACGTACCGCAAGCGCATCGATAGCTTTGTGAAGCGGCAGATTGAGGACATGGATGACCACCGGTGGGTGGAGGCCCGGGTGCCTGGGGGGGGAAGGGGGGGAGCAGCCGATTGTGGCCTGACAGCCCCCGTCACCCTCTGCTCTGCACAGGCCGTTCTTCACCTACTGGGTCACCTTTGTGCATTCACTCATTACCATCCTGGCGGTGTCCATCTACGGGATTGCTCCCGTGGGGTTTTCGCAGCACGAGACAGTGGACTCGGTGAGCGGCAGCATCCGAGGTCTCCCTTCTCTCCTAGTGGACCTGACCCCCCTCTTCTGCTCCTGGAGGGGCTGGAGGTGGGCACTCTTCCCATCTCTCCTCTGCTCAGTGGGTCTTTTCACTGGTAGGTCCTGAAAAACCGGGGGATATACGAGAACGTGAAATACGTCCAGCAAGAGAATTTCTGGATCGGGCCCAGCTCGGTGAGTGCCGTCCCCCGCCCGCCCCGCCCCCCCGTGGCTCAGCCTCCCCTGGGCGTCGGTCTCCCCGTGGGCCTCAGCTGGGACTCTGCCGCCTTTCAGGAAGCTCTCATCCACCTGGGAGCAAAGTTCGCCCCCTGCATGCGCCAGGACCAGCAGGTGCAGAGGTTCGTCAGCGCCGCCCGGGAGAAGGAGAAACACTCGGCCTGCTGTGTGCGCAACGACAAATCGGGCTGTGTGCAGACGGCCGAAGAGGAGTGCTCCGTAAGCTCCTGGCCTCTTCCCTCCCACTCGCCCGTCCCCTGCCTTTGTGGGGGCGCCCCTTGGGGACCCTGCTCCCACCCACCTTTGCCACTCTGATTTGCAGTCCACTTTGGCCGTGTGGGTGAAGTGGCCAAGTCACCCCAGCACCCCCTTGCTGGCTGGGGGCAAGAGGAAGTTTGGCTCCGTGTGCCACCAAGACCCCAGGTAGGTTGGGGGGGGGGGCACCTGTGTGGGGCTGCAGCTCTTGGCAGGGCACAGGGCCTGCTGTTGCGTCCAACACATGAAAGTTGCCCAGGACTTCTCCCTCCACAGGGTGTGTGAGCAGCCGGCATCCATGGACCCTCACGAGTGGCCCGATGATATCACCAAGTGGCCTGTAGGTTTCCGGAGGACGAGGGAGCAGGGCCTGACCCTGCCTGCACCTGGAGTGAGGGGGTGGAGAAGGCTTTTGGGGGGGGGGGGGCTTCTTTTGAGGACCAGGAGCGAGGCCTGCCCATCTCCTTCCAGATCTGCACCAACAACAGCGCTGGGAACCACACCAACCACCTGCACATGGACTGTGTGATCACCGGGCGGCCCTGCTGTATCGGCACCAAGGGAAGGTAGGGTGGGGGGCCATTCCGTTCCGCTGGGAAGATGCCCTGGACCAGCCCTTCTGGGACGGGGGGCTCAGTTGCCCCAGGCTTTGGCTCCTTCTCATTAGCCTGTGCCTCTGCTGGCATCCTCCCCGCTTTGGCTGGGCTTAACTTCCAGGCATCTGGTTCCCTCCTCCCAGGTGTGAGATCACCTCACGGGAATACTGCACCTTCATGCACGGTTACTTCCACGAAGAGGCCACGCTCTGCTCCCAGGTACCCCCATCCTCCTCCCGGCCGGCTCCAGCAGGCAGGCGGCCACCTCTGACCTGGCTGCTCCTCTGCCTTGCCAGGTGCACTGCATGGACGACGTCTGCGGCCTCCTCCCCTTCCTCAACCCCGAGGTGCCAGATCAGGTCTACCGCCTGTGGCTGTCGCTGTTCCTTCATGCCGGGTAAGGCCGGCCCAGGGCCACAAGCTCCATTTCCTGGGAACCGAAGTCCTGGTCCCACTTGGTCACCGCTCTTTTCCCCTGCCGGTTAGGATCCTGCACTGCCTTGTATCCGTCTGCTTCCAGATGACGATCTTGCGTGACTTGGAGAAGCTGGCTGGCTGGCACCGCATTTCCCTGATCTACTTGTTCAGCGGCATCACGGGCAACCTAGCCAGCGCGATCTTCCTCCCCTACCGGGCCGAGGTGTGTCTCGCTAGCAGCTCCTTCCCAAGCAAAGCGTCTCCTAGCTGAGGACCAGGTCTTGGGACAGCTCACTTGTGCAACATTCAGATTGTTGGGGGCAGGAGGCCGACTCTGTAAACCGCTCAGAAAGGGCTGCAAAAGCACCGCGAAGCGGTACAGAAGTCGAAGGGCTGTTGCTACCCTCCGGGCGAGGCTGGATCAAAGCAGATGGGGTTGGGGGGGCAGAACCCCGTTGAGTCTCCTGGGCGTTTCCTGCCTCCCTTTGGGTCTTATCTTGGCACGCCTTGCAAATGTTCACTGAAGAGTTGAGGTGCTCCCCCTCCCCCATTGGCAGCCCCTCCCCCCGGGCGGTTCACGGGAGCGGCTGGCAGGAGAAGCCTTGACCCGGTTTGAGTGGGGCCTACCCTGCCCGACCAGCTTTCCCTGCAGGGCAGGTGTCTAACGGCTACCCCCTATGCAGGTTGGCCCAGCAGGCTCCCAGTTTGGCATCTTGGCCTGCCTCTTTGTGGAGCTCTTCCAGAGTTGGCAGATCCTGGCTAGGCCCTGGAGGGCCTTCTTCAAACTGCTGGCGATTGTGCTGTTCCTGTTTGCCTTCGGCCTCCTCCCCTGGATAGACAACTTTGCTCACATCTGTGGCTTTATCAGTGGCCTCTTCCTGTCCTTCGCCTTTCTCCCGTACATCAGCTTTGGCAAATTCGACCTGTACCGGAAGCGGTGTCAGATCATCGTTTTCCAGTCGGTCTTTGTGGGGCTCCTCTCTGGACTGGTGGTGCTGTTTTACTTCTATCCCATCCGCTGCCAGTGGTGCGAGGTCCTCACCTGCCTCCCCTTCACCGACAAGTTCTGCGAAAAGTATGAGCTGGATGCGCAGCTCCACTGAGCAGGGGAGGGGGGGGGAGGGAGGGAGGGGGGGCGCAGTCACCGGCGGCCTTGGGCAAAGCTGGCCTGGTGCTACTTGCCAGAATGCCAGCTGTCTTAAGATCCCTGCTTCTCCCGTGCTGCCTTATCTTGGCGACTGGAACTTTTTCAGCACACAGAAAGTTGGTGCCTTGTTCAATTTTACTGAACCTTTTCTGCTGCCATGTTTTTATTATGCTAGTTTCAAAGCGACCCTTTTCATGAGGTTTGTTCATTGTTACCCTGGTGGTGATTAAAAGTGAAGGTAGCGTTTTAGCTACATTTCCACTAAGTTTTGGAGTGTATCTGTGCCAAAATTGAGATTGCTGATCAAGTGCCTCTCAAAGGAAGGAGCTGTTCTTCATTCAGTGTCGATTCCATTTCTAACGTACAAACACTGAACTTGGATGAATTCTAACATTTAAAATGAAAGACTGCCTGTCTTGGATTCAACAGCTGACTTTAGTGCCCTGTAAAAATACGTTTTTAACCATTTAGTCCTGTCTCATTATTGGCAACTTTATAGGCAAGTATCAAGCACAGCGTCTCTCCTGTAAAAAATAGAATGGCTTATATTTTGTTGGAATGTGTAGCTGTATGCAGAGGGAGCAGCTGTAACCAGTGTAGATGTTAGATCATCGCGAAGAAAATCTCCATGGTCAATATAAGAGTTGACAATCACACGATGTCCTGAAATCAATCAAGTACAAAGAAAAATGATAACCGCTGGTATCAGTTGTAGGCTCACATTCTGATGCTACACGCTTTGCACTTCAGTGCAGAGGAAGTGTGTGTGTGTGTGCGCGAGAGTGAGTGAATTGGATGGATGGTAATTTAATAGAAAAAAACCTTCAGTGTACTTTATTATAATTTAAGAAATTTTAATGTTACTGGCTGGGTATTACTTGCTTCAGGTTCATTTGATATTTTCGTATTCAGAAAAAGATGCAGCACTTTTTCAAATGTAGATTCTTGTCATTGTTTAAAAAATAATAACGGGCCCATTGTTCCAGATGAGCAGAATTGTGCACCAATGGCCCCGGGGGTGGGGTGGGGGGTGGGGGGTGGGGGTGGGGGGTGGGGTGTTTGGTTCTCTGAAGCAAAGCCGGTCTGAAGCGGCTCCTCCTCTCCGGAGCCTTTTAAAGAGGTTCCCAAAGGGCAGCAGCGATGGTTGCCTCTCAATGAGAAAAGCTTCCCAATGGACCCCAAAGACCCCCTCAAAATCGGGCCACTTTGGGAAGATGGGAGGTGGGCGACAGCTTCTCCAGGCCAGCTGCCGAGGCTTTGGGGCCACGAGGAGTCCTGCCCGGAAGCCCCAGCAGGAGTCGGGATCCAGAGCCACATGGCCAGGCTAGGAAGGGACGAGAAGCCGGACTTGCCTGGGACTTCATTGCCGGAGCTTTTTCACAAAACTGACCTCATCCCGGTTGCGAATCCCGTACCTAGAGAGGGCGGAGGCAGGCGGAGGGGTCACCCGGGGGCCAGAAGAGCGCCGACGGTGGCGGCAAGCCCACCTGCACCTTCCCCGGACGGCCTCCCGCCCGCCACTCACTCCCGCAGCTTCTTGCGGTCGTCGGCCAGCTTTTCTCCCCCGAAGGTCAGGCTGTAGGTCCTCCAGACGTGCCTCCTGCGGGGGGGCGGGGGGGGGGGCAGCAAGGCGGCGATGAGCGGGGCCTCCCCTGCCACCCGCAGCCCCCACCCGCAGCCCGGCTGCAGCCCAGGCCCCACCCTCACCAGCTGATGTGCCTGGCGCCGCTCTGGCGCTCCTGCCGCAGCTGCACGAACCTCCGCAGCGCCTTCTTCAGCTCCAGGACGCTCGCGCTCTGCACCACCACCACGGCTGCGGGGAGAGGAGCGGTTAAGACGGCGGCCGCAAGGGGGCGCCCCTCCCCTCGCTGCCCGCCACTTACGCATGGGTGCCTCGGGGGCGTCCACTCTGCGCACGCGCACCGTCATCGCCTGGCCGTACTCGAGCGCCACCTGCGAGCAGATCTCTTCGGGGGTCACCTGCAGGGCACAACACGTACACGCCGCGTGAGCCGCCGCCCGCGGCGTCCCCCGCCCGCCCGCCCACTAACCTGCTCCGGGAGGTCGCAGAGGAGCGGGTCCCTGACGAGTCGCGCCAGGCCGGCCTGCCAGCGGTCCACCGCCTCCGCGTGCGCCTCCTCCTCCTCCTCCTCCATCATCATCGCCGCGGCCGGAACCGGAAGTGGCGTCTACCTCGCAGGGGGACGTTGGAGGCGCGCCGCGATGCTGCTTTTCTGCCCGGCTTGCGGGAACGTGCTGGTGGCCGAGGAGGGCGCCCGCTGCCACCGCTTCGCTTGCACCACCTGCCCCTACGTGCGCAACGTCACGCGCAAGGTGGGTCTCCGGGCGGGCCGGGGGGCTCCCTCCCCCGCGCGCCGCCGCTCCCTTGCCCCCGCTCACCCCCTCCCCGCGTTGCCAGGTGACCAGCCGGCGCTACCCGAAGCTGAAGGAAGTGGACGACGTGCTGGGCGGGGCCGCCGCCTGGGAGAACGTGGACTCCACCGCAGGTGCGTGGGCGGGGCGGACGCGCGGGCGGGGCAGGTGGGGCGGACGCCCCTCCCCTCGGCTGACTCCTCCCCTTCTCTCTCCCCCCCCCCCGCAGAGCCCTGCCCCAAGTGCGGCCACCCGCGCGCCTACTTCATGCAGCTGCAGACTCGCTCGGCCGACGAGCCCATGACCACCTTCTACAAGTGCTGCAGCGCCCCCTGCGGCCACCGCTGGCGCGACTGAGCGGCCGGAGGAAGGAGGGAGACGGAGGGGCTTCAATAAAGCGACTTTATTGGCTCGCAGCGGCGCCCCACTTGTTCCAGTTTACTTCGTAGGGGAAGACCCGGCCCATTTTCAGGGTGCAGTCGAGGGTCGGCTCGTAGAAGGCGGCCGGGGCGTCGCTCAGCTTGCCGCCGGGGGCCACTTCCTCTCGGGCAGGCTGGGAGAAGAGCGAGGCCGCGCCGGGCCTTTGGAAGTGGAATTTCCGGATGCAGCCCAGAGACTCCAGAGCCTGCAGGGAGCAAGGGGAATCCGAGTCAGGGAGGGAGGGTGGGGGGGCGCTCCGGTTAGGAACTGCCCCATAGCTCAGCTCCACCTCTACTGGGATATGAGAGACGGAGGAGGAGGAGGAGGAGGAGGCGGCCATCAGCTTCTGGGGAAGATCCAGTCTTGGCATTCTGGGGCTCAGAAAAAAGGTTGCCCCACACCCGGAAGCTGGTTTTGGGCGGTGCCCATGCCAGACCCAAAATCTCTTCGCCCTTCTGGACCTGAGCAGTCGTGCGTCCCTCCCCAAGCGCACCCACCTGTAGGATCTCCAGGAGAGCCACGGGCTGCAGGACACCCAGGTAGTGGTGCTGCAGGGCTGCTTCTGTGATGCCAGGTTTTGTCATAATGTGGCCGAGCACCCCTTCCATGATCCCTTTGCAGACCGGTTTGTTCAGACTGCCGTCCACAATGCGCCAAGGTCGCCCCACAAAGCAGATGCCCTCCCTGCTTAGGAAAACGAGCCATTCACTGCGGGTGCAAATAGCCCCTCCTCTCCTGGAATCGGGAAATGTTTGCGAAGATGCTTCCAGTAATTGCGGTGCGACATTGCCGTTCGGTTTTATGTCCCGTCGGTCCTACTACCTCTAAGTCCACCCCCATCTCTGCATCTAATTAGAGGTTCTGTGGCATGTGGGAAGCCACGAACCACCTCTGCTTTGCCCTCTTTACCATAATCTGCACAGAACGCCTGTCATAAAATCCTGGAAATTAACCCAGAGGAAGCTATTTCATACAGAGCTTGGTCTGCATGAAACTAAGCGAGAAACAGAAGCTCCTGCTGGAGTTCCAAAGATCACGGCTCAGCCTTGGGAATTCCAGACCTTAACGTGCGACTGGAATAAAAGCACTTCTTACTTTCAGGCTATCCTTGCTGTTTCCCAATTGCACAACAAACACAATAGCTACAAAGTGCAATTTATCCGCATGCTTACCGTCTTGTCTCAGCCTGAAGAGGCTGTCCTGTCGCACATCCTAGGGAAGAGCAAGGAAGATGGTAAGACACACAAACACCCATCTTATTTCTACCGAATAATTAGTGTGACCATCAGAGTTGCTACTGAACAAGTTTGAGCTGACCAGGGAGGGTCCTATGTTCCATTTAGTGTTGAAGGGAACAGCATCGAGATGGGGTCCACCAATGAGATTTTCTTGTCTCTGGGAGAGAGGGCCTGCCTCCCCCCTCCCCACCGGGTGGAACATGTAAGCCCCTCCCAGCAACTCTTGTTTCCTTTCTGGAGGGTCTCCGTACAGTTGAGGGGGGCTTCAAGCTTACCGCTGAGAGCTTCCTTATTCTCTTGGCATGAGGAGGAATCCTGCTGGGGCTCTTGGCTGGACATTCCCCCATCCAAGGCTTCTCTGCCAGGGAGGGCCCCGGCTGTTTGCCTAGAGGAGGGGATGCCCATCCTGCACTTCTGCATGGCAGTCCTGGCTCCCTCCGAGGAGGAGGAGTCTGAGGAGAAAGCCCTTGTTTCTGGAAGCCCCCCCTCCTCTCCTCTCGGCCTTTTCCTGCCTGGTTCGTCTTCTTGTGCCGCTGCGGCACAGGCGGCGGCCTCTCCTTCCTGCTCAGCACGGTCCCTCTTTGGGCGCGGATCTTGGCCTGGCAGACTCTGGCTGACGTCCTTGAGGCCCCCAGAATGCAACAGCCATGGGCTTGCAAATCTCTTTGCCACCAGCCGAGTACTTTTCCCACCTACTTCCAACACCTGCTCCAAATCCAGGAGATCCTAAATGGGGGGAGAGGGAGGGGGGGCATTGTGACCCACAAAGGATGAGGAAACGCTCAGCTGAAGCATTCGCTTATTTCATTAGATTTAGAGGCTGCCTGACTAATAAAATGTAATGATAAAATGTAAAAGAAATCAACGTATCCACGTATCCAGAACAGCCATCTAACAATGGGACCACGTCCATCCTACCCCAGCCGGCACAGCTAAGAACCAGAAGGGGCGAGGAGGGGATTCATAGAGCACCCCAGTGCTCCAGGACGTTGGTTAGGAGGCTGCATAGGACCTCCCACTCGCACATACCAACCTGAAGATATTTCTGCAAGAAGCCGGAGCGCCCAAGAACGGCTTCTTCGTAATGCTGGAACTGCCTGGCAAGATTCACCTGGTCCACCCCGAAGTGTGAAGTGGCCTCTATAGCAGAGAAGATTTCAAGGGCCGCAGCAGCGTCTCCAGGGCTGTGATTGTAATGATCCAGCAACTGAAGTTTCGGGTCACCCTCTTCTGGGACCCTGAGACATTTGGTGAAGGAGCTGGGGAGGCAAGAGGCTCCAACCGGCATGTTCTCCAGGTCGGGTGGGTCTGCGGGCAGAAAACAGAAGTTCTTCAGACGACAGGAAGCACAGAGCCAGATGTCTGCTCCCCAGGCCTAGGCAAGGGAACGCAGAGGCCACCACAATGATGGCTGCTTCTGAAATGGGACAGGGGGAAACTATCCAAGAACGCCTCTCCCCAGGAGACTGACCTTCAGCCAAGAGGCCGTTTTGGGCAGGTGTTGCTCTCAGCCTGACTTTCACCTGACAGGAATCGACCACAATGTTGTCTGTGGGACTCAAATTCCGGGTGTTGATGATCCCTGGGGCACAATAGCCTCTCATGAGCAGGTAGTTGGTACGTGAAGCCTGCCGGGCCTTCACCTCAATCTGGCGCTTGTTGGCTTGATTCTCCTCCACATCCTCCTCTTCCTCCTCCTCCTCGTCTTCGTCCTCCTCCAGCCCGTCTTTCCCTAGGCTACAAGAGGCAGGGAGGAGTGAAATCTCAGCAGGGCTGGAGTAAGAAGGCTCGTCTTATGTTTGGCTCAGCAAACGGAAGATTGCAGCCAGCCGACCTTCCGAGAGAAAGGCCCAATCGAAGGTCTGGGAAATTCAGTTCAGTAAAACATTACTGATTGGAACCAAATCTGACTGAAGGCACCGTGGCTTCCTACCTCTTGATGACTTCATTCTCCACCATGGTGCTGTCAACCACGACAATCTGCTCTGGGATTGCAACGTCTACAGAAACCAGGCCGAGAGAGAAGAGGGCCAGCAGAGCAGAGCAGTAGCCTCCGGGCCCGTCTAAAGGAAACGTCACCATCTCGGCCCCAGGGAGGCTGTCTTGCTCCTTAAAGGAAAAGCTGGAAACGGCATCCTCTTTCCCGGCTTCTTTGAGCTTTAAGAGAAACTGGTAGGATTCACTGCAGAGGGTGCTGGGAAAGCGCCAGGTGAACACTCTGGGGGAAACGGGAAAGAAGGGACTGGCCAGGCAGGACTTGCAAGGCAGACCAGGGGCCCCCCAGTGGCTGGGCAAGAGGAGCTTTTGGCCGGAGCCCCCCGGGGAGAACCGCTTCCCACTCGGCTGGCTACACATCCTTCATGTTCAGGAGGGAAGGAGAGGCAAGGCACCCACCTGTAGTAGCTCTGAGAGAGTTGGTAAGACATGGGCACGAAGGGCAGTGCCCGGCTTTTCTTGGGGCCCAGGCTGTGATTACCCCGGCGGCGATTCACCAAGCTCCTCTTCTGACAGTCCAAGAAAGCTTTCACCAGGATGTCGTCCTGATAGTCCCGGTAGAGGCGGAAGGTCTGCCGATAGAAAGGCCCCTTTCAGTGCCCCACTGCATGGCCCCCGATGGGGGGAGCCCCCCCTTCCCCAGGCGACCTTCACCACAAGGGGGAGCCTGGTCAAGACCTTCGCCCGAAGCCCTGACTCGAGGCCCCCGTCCCTCTGCAGAGTCAGGGCCACCCCTAGTAGATCCAGTGTCACAGAGGGAGGCTGAAGGAGTGCTGACCGGCAGGTGCGCTTCCGGGATGGGTCGGAATAGCGACCTTGGCAGAGCGGCCAAAACCATTCTCTGCTGCAGAGCAAATCCGGTTTCTCTCTCCCTCACCACTTCTTGGTACCCTTGGCAGGAGGGCCCTTCCCAGCCCCGTAACGTCCGGCCTGCTCCTCCTCTCACCTGGAAGGACTGGAAGGATTTCATCTGGTTGTTGGAGAGAGCCAGCGTGCTTTGAATCAGGTTCTGCAGCACCAGGAAGTGGATGTCACCCACGCTAAGAGGAAGAGGAGGGAAGCCACAGCTGCAGCCTCTGGGGTCTCAGTTCAGCATCCCCGTGGCCCCGAAGGCAGAAGCCGGCAGCAGGGGCCCCGCAGGGCTCTCTGAAGGGGAGAGCCTCAGCCCTGCTGCCATCTTGGCTTGCCTGCCCACCAGCCGAAGCCGATCCACTCTGTCTGGGTTTCCATGACCTTTCCTGTGGCTGCGCCTCTCAGCCAGGGAGACAGGCAGGAAGCCCCTCCCATGGGGGCCGGGTGTTGAGGAAGGAAGGGGCTCTGCAAGCAGAGGGGGAACCAGCTGCCTCACCTGCACAGTTCATCTTCTTTTCTGCCACAGCTACTTTCATTCCCAATAGCCAGAACCCGGAACCTGCGGAAAGGCCAGCAGGAAGCCAGCTCTCATCAGGCTGGAGGCCAAAGGGGGCCTGGCCTGAGAAATGCTGGGCCCTGATCCTGAGCCAGCGGCGGAGGGGCTGCCGGGGGTCTAGACGAAGCTATGCCTCTGCAGCCAGACTGAAAAAGACCCCAGCTCCCTGGGACAGACACCCCCACCCCCGGCTGCCCAACGGCACAGCACGTTCTCCCCTGGGCCGCCTAGTGGAGCTCCCCTTGAACCAAGAGGCGGCCTGGGAAAGAGAAAGCAACAAGGGGATGAAAAGGAAAGCTGCTCCCCCCCCCCCCCGGAGAGCCCTAAAAACGGGCAGCCTTGGCAAAGGTTGCCACCCACCTGATGAAAAGGTCCTGCAAAGTGTCCGGAATGGCAGCCCTGGGAATCCCCAGCGTGGAGCTGAACTTCTCCTTCAGCCTCTCAACAAAGTCCTTGAACTCTTCAGCACAAACCTTTCACAAGAACACCAGAAATCCCCCCTCAGGAACATGCAGCTCTGGGAAGGGACCCTTGGAAGCCCCTTCCCCTCCTCACTTTCGCAACAGAGGAGAGAGAACCGGCTGCTGCGCTGGGCTGCCTAGGAATCCCAGGTTGGAGACAACGAAGGTCCCAGAAGATTTTAAACAGGTCAGGCAACCAGTGTTTGTTGCCCCCCCCCCTTTCCCCCCCCCTCTGTCTCAAGAGCACTGACACCCCCGGGAGCAGCTTCAGCAGAGCTGAAAACGGGGGCAGAGTCTGTGGGAATGCGCCTTTCGAGAGCTCGGCGTCTTGGCTGCAGATGGGAACATGCCGGGTCTGGACCTGAAGAAGTCCGGGGGGCTGCCGGAAGGAAGGGGGGTAGCAGGCCGGGGGTGGGGTTTGCCTCCCTCCTCCCCCCCCACCTTCTTTCTCATGGCTCCTGCTTGGTTCCTGGTGTTGAGACCCACCGAGGAAAGAATCCAGGAGAACAAACTCCCCCCCCACCACCGTTTCTCACCTTGGCGTCCTGATAGTCGCTCTTCCTGTTCATGAAGTCCTCGATCAGGGCTTTGTCTTGGTAGACTTCAGCAAGGCAAACTCTGCAGAAGGAGGCAGGGGGCCCGACCTGAGGAGCCACTTTCTCCTGGGCCGCCCTGTCCTTCTGGGGAAAGCACCCCCTCCCTCCCTCCCTCCCTCCCCATATGCAGCCCCAGGAGCCGCACTCTTCCACACACCCTGGACGGACAGGCCGCAGCGCTGGGCTCCATCCCGGCTCCTCCCCCACGGCAGCCAAGGTCCCACTCTGAGCGGACGGGGAAGATCTCTGCAGATGCCAGGCAGGGACAGGAGCCAGGGGTCACTCGGAGACCAGGCAAGTGGTTTGCTGGAGATCAGAGTGCAGAGCCCGAGGGAGCGAGAAGCAGCCCAGGGGAGTTCAGAATCCCCCCCACCCACCCCCCTCCACAAGGGCACAGCTTTTCAGGTCAGAGCTGCTTGGAGTCAAGCCTCACTTGTAGTTGAGGTAGGTCTGGGGGTTTTTGACGATGTAGCGGGCCCTCCGCCCAACGGAGTGAGAAGTCTTGTCTAGTGATTCCTCAAAGCTGCTGTGCATGATGTCTCGGACCACCTGCCAGGGGACGAAGGGCCCCTTCACCTGCCGGACGCAAGAGAGCAGCTCAACCTCGGAGTTCCGCCTCTACTCCCTCCCAGCGCGGCAGCAGGGGCCGGCAGCGGCTGGGCCTCCCCTGGCGGATGCCAGCCGGTACCTTGGCATTCAGAATGTTGCTTGCAATGCGGCAGAGCATCAGCAGGCTGTCCTCCTGCACGGTCCACATCACACGCAGGCGGGTCATCCTCTGCAGAGCCCTCCGGTCCACCTCATCGTGGTAGCGTGGCTTCCGGTCCTTTGCCTCCGGAGTTTCGTCTGAGCAGAGACGGAGGGAAAGCTCAATTCGCCAGAGCCTCCCATTGCTTCCAACTGCACGCTGCCCAGACCTGTCCTAGCGGGGCATTCCATCGATTTCCAGCCATGGATAATGAAATCCAAAGAAAGGGCAAACTGAAGAGAAAGGCCGACCCCCCACAAGAACACGCCAAGCGGCTCCCCTGTGCCAAGGTCCTCCGTGCCCTCGAAGCAGCTCTCTGCAGCAAAAGCCTCCTCCGGCTGCCGCTGCTGCTGCCGCCTTACCTCTCTTTCTCCTCCTCTTCTTTGCCTTCCTCACCGGGTCCTTCTTCAGCCGCTTCCTCTTCTGGCTCTTCCCCCCCCTCACCCGCTGGCTCCTGTTCAGGTTGGCCTCCTTCTCAACGGCCAGGTCTTCTCTCTGCAGAGCAGGCTCCGAGGTGAACAGGCTCTCTTTCCAAAGAGCACTGGGGGCACCTGAGGGGACAAGGAGGACAGGAGGGAAGCGTGGAGGAGGAGGGAAGCGTCCTGGCTGCCTTCTGCTGGCCGGGAAGTCCTTCCAAGGAGGAACTGGAAGGTGGAAGAGACACTCACAACAACCTCTCTCCAGCCCCCGATTGCCGCAGGAACAGACGGACCTGGCATCCGACAGAGGCAGCCCAAATCAAAATGGGCGGAGGATTTGGTCACTGAATCCTTTCATGTTTAGCAGGAAGCCCCGTGATCTCCTTGTAGCGTAAAACCCACCCCGAGATCAGCTTCTGCTGCTCTACTCTGCAGCCGAGGCATCACAGGAAGCCCTTCCTAAACCGCCCTCCGGGTGCTTAGCATCCGTGCAGCTCTTGCATTCACAACACCCATCCTGTCCCCTCACCTGCAGGGCCAAATGGCAGGGAGCGCTTGGGCAGGAAGGTCTGCAGTCTGACCATGTGCCCAGCTTCAGAAACGGCATTTTCCTGGTGGGGAAGGATGGGGGGAGAGGGAGTCAGTGGGAGGAGGAGGAGGAGAAGAGAGCAAAGGCTGTTGAAGAGGAAAAGCTACTCATTGAATGAGGAGGGTTTCCCCTCCTCCTCCTCCTCCTCCTCTAGCTTCTCCCTTCCCCCAATGAGACAGGATCCCCCCCACTGCCAGCCCTCACCCACAGCTGGGAAGTCTAGCAGGACCAAGAGGCGGCTCTGCCCCCAGGTGCCTGCAAAGCCCTTGAAGGGAGGGGTGTGTGTTGTTTGGTGCCTGGCCTCCTTCACCAAGGGAAAGGATCCGGATAACCTGCCTTCTACCTGCCCCAGTCAGAATTGGGGCAATTAAAGAGATTTCCAAACATTTATCAGAAAAAAGGGTCGCTGCCATTCCCGAAAGTCTCCTAGCCACGTAGTAAAGCAGGGCAGAGAAAAATGACAGCTGTGTGGAAAAGCCTCACCTTCCTAGTCTTATTAATGATGTAGCTTGTCCAGATCCAGTTGCGTTTCAAGTGGCTGTAAAAGCTGGAGTCCAGACCGCCTGCCCCGAGCCCATCCCCCGGGACGGAGCCCTCGTCCTCCACCTCTCGGCATCCTCTGGGAGGGAAACGGCCAGGTGAGCAACTCCCGATTCCGACGGCCACTCACTCATCCTCCATCCAATCTGGGGTCCTTTGCCTGCCCCCTCCCAAGAACCAAGCCACGTTTCTACCAGGACACCCACCCCCACCCCCGTCAGCAGAACGGAAAGGGTAAGCTGTCACTCGACTGGGGGGGAAGCACCTCGCTCCTCAGAGAGAGAGAGAGGGCGTAGAGCCTGCTTCCGCACACCCCCCCCCCCACCTCCAGGCAAAGGAAGGCCGAGTCCTTCCGCCAAACCTTCCCAGCAGGAGAGACATACGTCGTGTACACCAGCATGGCACACTTGCGCTCCAGGTTGTGCTTGTGGGCTGCTGATTCTTGCTCCAGGGCTACGTCTGAGAGCGCCTCGGCCTCCCCAGCTGGGGCGCCACTCCTCTTCGCCCGGGGCTGGCGAATAATCCCTGAAGCGACCAAGAGATGCCATCAGCAGAGGTGGAGCCAGCAGCCAGACGCAAACCGACCCAGTGGCAGCGGGGGAACAGAGGGAGAGCCAGAGGCCAGGGATGGAGAGGAGCAGGATGGCCAGCCATCCACCTTGCAAGCGGGGCTGGGGCCGGCTGCCGTCATCATACCGAGGGGTGTGTTGAGGCAGACGCACTGCAGGTCAAACCAGAAGTTCTCCACATCCTGGAGGGTACCCAGGGTGTAACGGCGCTTGTCAAAGGGGCGGCTGCTTTTAGCCAGGTTGTAATGGGGTTCACAGATGGTGGTGTCCACAATCACCGCTTTTTTCTTCAAGTACACAAACACCTGCGTGAGATTGGAAATGCTCAGACCTTCCAGTCAGGACGGATGCAAAGGTGCAGATTTCTAGATTCAGGCAACAGAAAAGGGGCAGACCAGGAATCCCGGTAAAATAAGCAAAGGCGCCTCGTCACTCCAGCTCTTCCCTTTCGACCTGCTTCTTGGAAAGCCCCACTTTCATTTGAGGTTGGAGCATCGTTTCCTATATACGATCAAGGTTCGTTCACCTTGAATGACTAAGCCCAAGCTGCCCTATTTTGCCCCGTGCGCACTGTCCTCCCGAGAGGTTCGTAACGCTGTGTGAGGGGGAAGGAAGGAAGGAAGGAGAAGAGAATGGCCAGCAGCAGCAGCAGCAGAAGCAAAAGGGATGGACTCTTTCGCAGCAGCAGCAACAGGCGAACCGTTGGGGGCCCTGAAGATGCATACTGTGGGAGAATCCTATCCACACGCTTCCTAAAAGGCAATGCCAACTTGATGGCATTTCATAAATCAGTTACCCTCATGAAGCATAAACTGCTGATGATGCCAACAGCAGCTCCTGCTTAATTATTCAGAACACATTTCAGTTGTAGTCAGAATCCTCTTTAGAATCTCCTATTTTGTGCATCTGATGAAGAGAACCTCTTTCCGACTGGGGCCTATCACAATCAGCGCTCAAGTCTTCAACTTAGAACAGGACACCCTTGTTTTTGTAGGAAACCCTTTCCCCCCAAAGAACACCGTTTCTCTTGCATTAATTTAGGTAATACAGCAGAGCACTCAGAAAAACTACAGAAATAACAACACACATTACCTGATCTTTTTCTTGAAATTTCTCTGTGGGGCCAAACTGCAGCAATCCCATATAGCACAACCGCTGTAGGCTTTCCATGACTGAAAAGATATACCTCCTGTAGGGATAAATTGCAGTTGAAAATTATTGGACTGCTTGTCAATTGTAAGAAAACAGCCGAATGTCTCTATTGTTGACTCAAATCAAAGGCAATTCTAAAAGCTGCTGAACACACCGTATGGTTATCAAAGTGCAGGGTCTAAGTTCAAATCCAAATAAAGGGTTGAACATGCAATATATATGACCCAATATGTGGCAGCCTCTTCTGCTTGATGAATTTCCACATGAACGAAGCTGATGGTAGGACAGTGCTCTGGGGATCAGCAGCGCAGAAACCCTCTACCCACAGAGGTCTTCCTTGAGGCCCAAACGGCCAGGCTCACGTTAACCTGCTCTGCACAGCGTCACGTAAAGACCCAGAACTCTGGAGGGGGCTCCAGTGCTAGGAAAGGTGGACGGAAAGAGAACGCGACGACAACTAGCAGCTACGGTGGCGATGGGGGCGCAATTGGAAGTCTGAAGGAGAGATCTTCATACAGAACATCTGTGGTCATTCAGCCCACAACATTGACTTGATGGCACATAATCAACCAACCAGTTAACTAATCGATCAAGCTAGTCAAAGGGTAAGTACTGGTAACGTAACATTCCATTCTGCGACCACCAAAACCCCATCAAAGATAAGGACGTTTTTGTGCCTGGGGACATTTTAAGGCAATTCCTATTGGTGAGCTACCCTTGCCAAAATTCTACATTGAACTAGAACCCGGCAGTGCCAGGAGAGCCTCGCTTTGAACAGTGGCACCCTCTCCCCTCTCCTGGAACAGCCCCAATGAATCAGAACCCACCGCTTGTAAACGAGCTGCTGCCGAACGGATCTGGGAAGGTTCCTGATGAGTGTATGTTTCCTCAGAGAGTCCATCAGGTAATCTTCCAGGTTCTCTACCTATATTAATTTCATACAGCAGAACGCAAGGTTGGCAGCCAGGCCCCCATCCACTTCATCCTGCAGCTGAGAGCTAAGCACGGGGATTCATCAGCGAGGAGACCGACTCCAGCCTCCGACGCGGGAGCTGGCGAGGACTCGGAAGGCCCACTGGTCCCCCGCTCTGCCGTCCCAGAAAAGGCCCCGGGCCAAGTGCATTCACCCCTGAAGAGTTCTGCACTTGAAGCCTCTCACCTTATAGCTGACTTGCACTATCTGGACAAAGATGGACAAAGGCAGACAGAGAAGGAGGTCACTAACTAGTGCCCAGCCGTGTCCAAACTCCCGGTGGACTGGCAGAGGAGGGACGTGACGCTTCCAGGAGGCCTCATCCACATACACTGCAAGGGAAAAGGGAAAAGGGGTGCAGGGCTCCATGGATGTTCACCCAGGGAATGTTCAGGATACGTTTGCTCTTCAGCCACCCCCTCCGGAAACGGAAGGTCCCCGTTTTCACCTTGCCTTTATTGAAATAGGCTGCTGCTGCAGACAGACAGACGGACACCGGAAGCTGTGCTGACCATGACAGCAGTTCCGATAGGCCTGGTTGCCTAACTGGCTCCAGAGGGAATGGGAGAGGACAAGTTATGGGGGCCACCGTGTCCTTCTGCTGCTGAAACAGAGCAGGCCAGGAGGAGGAGGCTGCTCTGTCAGGGAGGGCTGCCTTAGCTAGACTGTGAATAGGTTGGGAGGCGTTTCCGGAGAGTTCTGAAAACTTCGCAAACCCTGGCTTCTGAGCTGGGTCTTTACCCTTCTGCTCCTCAAGCTCCAGATCTCCTTCTTGGGCAGGAACCTCTGGGCTTTGCAGAGACCCCTTGTCATCTGCCGCATCAAGGGGAGAGCCGGAGGAGGCACTGCCCGTGTCTTCTCCTCCTAACAGGTCACAGCCAGGTCTCCTCCTCTGCGAGCTGGCAGGATGCCCGTAGATCAAGTACCAGAGGAAGAGGTGAGTCATCTTTAAGCGCGGCATTTTGGGTAGGAAACCCAGGGAGCGACCAAGGCCTGGCACTGAGAAGCAATAGCAGTTAGCAGTTAGACTTATATACCGCTTCACAGGGCTCTCAGCCCTCTCTAAGCGGTTTACAGAGTCAGCATATCGCCCCCAACAACAATTCGGGTCCTCATTTCACCCACCTCGGAAGGATGGAAGGCTGAG